TTTGTTTTTCTAATTTAAAAGTTTCAAAGTGCGACAAGTTTTATCGTCAGTTAAATGTGCACATCGAATGCATGCTAGTCAATTTAAAGAAAATCGCACGTAGTCGGTAGCGAGGAAATTGACTCAAAAATTCAATGCAGCATGGAGAAAATTGAAAATTATAGGATGAATAGGTGATCAAAGCGACTTAATCGAACAGCTGGAATTAAAAAATTAATTAGTGAAAGTGAGATAAAATCGTGTTACTTTGAACTGCTTTTTAAGATTTCTTAAAGATATAAACTGCATTGTGAAATATAATAGTTTACGGTTTTCCTACTAGATTGCAAAAATGACTAACAACGCGAAACCCACCTTAATATGGCCCAGTTTTCATAAGAACTTTCATAAAGTCGTCGCTAAGTAGAATGGAGTCATTTATGTACAAAAAAGAACATGTTTTGTTCGATGGACAATTTTGTTCAGATTTTATTACAAAATGATTTTCCTGGTTCTAAGCTTTCAATTAAAACTAGTTTAATAGTTTAAGTAAACTATCGAGTTCAGCGAACGTGAACGGAAACAATGAATATTCTCCTACTCATTAAGAATGGAATATTCCCATAAGATTTAGTAAATAACTCGTAAAACATTGAGTGGTGCCCAATTGTTGCACCTAAATATTATGAGAGAACAGAGCTAGTTTTTGGATTTATAAGGTGAAAAGGGATACAAATTAACAATCCCAAATGTTCACACAATAATTCTTCAATACCGAATGTGTTCGATTCGTGCATTTTCAGCATTCTACGTAACGATCTGCATAACAGCTTTTGTGCTATTTTATTGGAGACTAATTTTTTTGTTTCATTCTGTACCTTGATTTTCAGTTTTTGAACTAAAATACCTTATACGGATTTCTTGTGTATTTATTGCATAGTAATTCCGTTTGTTATACAAAATATGGTGATGATTACAATAAATACTAAATACTTTCAACTTAAGTACTCAAAAATGACTTGAAAAAAATTAAGGAATCTCATTAAAATTAAACAGAAAGACAGCAAAAATGTGCCGAGAATATGGCAGTAAAACCACAGAAAACTTAGTGGCTACTTTGGATACTTTTTAAATCTACTTTTGGGTAGTCAAGTAACACGCGTTTTAAGAACTATTGAAAAGGGGTGCAATTTTGAGTTTTATAATTAATTTTATAATGATGCAAATATAAAACCAGTGTATGTATAGAAAAACCACTGCTTAGAAGTCCAAAAATTTAAATGAAAGTGATTTTTTGCGTCTTAAATCCGGCCGAAAGGAGTACATTTTTCCATATTCCCCAAATTATTTGTCGCAAATATGTCACACATAATTAAACAACACGAATAAGCAATGTAATATATTCCCTTTCAATTTTATTGACAAACATTGGCCTTGTTTGTTTTCTATTTGTTCCTCTGCACTGATTTGAGTGAAAAATATGTGAAACCTGCAATAAATGTAATTTCTACTCGTAAATCCAAATCGAAATTTAATAACATTTAATTACGAGTTGGTACACTGATATCTGTTGAAGCTGAAACTAATTATTGTTGTTCACGTTTCGGCTTCCACGACTTTTCAAGGAAATTGGTATTTTTTAACCGCATCCGGCTATTGTTTTATGAAGTGCTAAACATACGGCAAGCTACAGTTAGTAGGTACCTACTTATTTTTACGTTATTTATAAAAGAATATAAATGTACATTTGAACATACAAATGAACTTTAGAGCCACTTCTGCAGAACAGTGGCTATCATAAGCTGTTTATAGGATTTTTAGTCCAATTTGCAACAAAGGTAACGATTTTAAGTTCAAAGTAAAATCCATTATAAAATGCAACCGAAACTTATGTTGTTTAGCCAATTGAAGAATATTTGCCATCAGGAATCCCTACCCTGATGTTTTACCTGAAAAAATTCAAAACATTCAACTTTGTTATAGTTTTTAATCAATCAATTCAATCAGAAGAGTTTTTTTTTATGAAAACGTATGTTGCTAAAGTTTAGATAAACTATTAGTTAAAGTGCATGCCTCCTTGTCCTATTTTAAAGTCCATAATGTTTTCTCACAAATACTGCTGCATAATTAAGTCAGACTCATTTTGTTATGAACATTATTGTTGCGCAACTTCGGTCCGACATTGATGCGTTTTATGTGTCTTCTTCAAAACGATGCATGAATATGAAAAATGATAAATTCTCAGATGGCTCAGCTTACAAAATTAATGATGAATGAGTAAAAAATATGAGCTCTTTGCCAGATTAGTTGAACAGTAAGTAAAACAACCAAATTATTTTTATAAATATTTATTTTATTATATGGCAAATACAACTGCAATATTTTTCCTCTAACAGCTATATTACAAATCAATTTAAAAATGTGATAATATCGTAACAATAAAAAAAAATAAAAATCAAACATATAAATAAATACAGCTATTTTACAATAATTACAATGGACAGACGAAATTCAACGAATAATGATTGCTATTACATCAATTATCGTCGCAATGAAAATAACGAATTTAAATCTGAATACTACTAGAAACAGTCACTCGGATATTAAATGGTATTAAAAGTAGTACATAGTATCACAAACAACGTATTCTTAAGGATACAAATAATATACATTATATTAACGAGATAATGAAAATTGCCTAATAGTCACCTATAGGGGGAGAAATGGAATTAAGCAGTCTTTAGGGTATGTGTTTCTAATATTTCATTTCAGTGTAAAGATTAGAAAATTGCTTTTCAAATGGATTGAGAATCAGCGCCCTTATGTTAAACGATTTTCCTCAATGGATAATTTAATTCAGTTCAGTTTTATGGTAACAAAACTTGTGATTAATAAAATGAAAATGTGTCGCAATTCGGAAATACCTTGGGGCGCATTAAAATATGTCACACAATGATTCAGAGATCAGATATTAAACAATCATTTAGTCGTTTAGTCATGAGAAAATTGCAAGCTACTTATCCTCAATTAAGCACAACTCAAACCACAATGGAATACGAAAATTAGGTTCAAACTACGACTTTGAACTGGCCAACCCATTTAATTAAACAGATAAATTTTCAATTGTTCTCGGAGAACTTACACAGGGCGTTTCTTAATGATCTGCAAATATTTGCATCGATCGAGTATCAAACCATCGTACATTAAATTTTTTATTTAAACACCCCGTATTTTCTAGAGGGGCTTTAACTTTTCCTGTACGATGACAAATTAATACAGGGTGATTCACAACCACAGAGCAGGGGCGTGTAGAGCACCTCAAAACAAGTCGAGTTTCCATTTAAGTTTTTTTTCTCAGTGTCATGGTTAACGAGATACAGGGTGTTAAAGTTTCAAAAAAAATGTTGATATTTTCTATTTAACTCCTACCGTTTGTCAGATATTTTGCTCAATTTTTTAACGTAGGCTAATGTTTAGACCCTTTACGCGTAGCTAAGGCGACTGGTTGTGACAATCTACAGGGTGTTCTTTTTTTAGAGGCATATCCCCTTTTACCCCCCGAACGTTTTTGTGGTGCGCCACTAATTTCGACCGAACAAATTTGTGAATTTGTTGTTTGATTTAAAAATGTTCTGATCTCTTGCAGTTTTTTCGTATCTGTCTTCATTTTCGAGTTATTAGCACAAATATAAGTCCATGTAGTTTATTTTATTTATTTTCTTATTATTTTTCTTATTCTTATTAATTTTCTTATAATTTTTTTTCGTCCTTCTGTTCACATTTTTTTGTGAAAGAAATAAATTTCATAATAAATTTAAATATTCGTTACATTTTCGTGTACTTTTATTTGGATTAGCTTACAACCGACAAACCTCAATTATTGTAAATTAAATTAAAGCAAAAAAAAAAATGTAAAGTTAACGCGTCAGCCATCCCTATTTGAACTTCAACTTGCACTTGAAGCTTGCACAGAAAAATGTGTACAAAAATACACAAAAAAAATTAATTAAAAAAATTCACAGAAAATCACCCAGAAACCCTACATGGACTTATATTTGGGCAAATAACTCAAAAGCGAAGATAGATAAGACAAATCTGCAAGAGAAGCAAATTTTTAAATTAAACAACAAATGCAAAAATGTGTTTGGTCGAAGTCAGTGGCGTGCCACAAAAAAGTTTGGGGGGCTAAAATGGGGTATAAATCACCTTTAGAAAAAAGAACACCCTGAAATTTTTTCAACCAGTCTTCCTACCTGCGAATAAAGGGTATACACATTAGCATACGTTAAAAATTTGAGCAAAATATCTCATAAACTGTAGGAGTTAAAGAGAAAGGATTAAAAATGTTTTGAAATTTTTTTCAGGTTCTTTACATGCCCCTGCTCTGTGTCCATAAGGCTGTGAATCATCCTGTATATTCGCATTTTATTAAACCTCTGTATGGACTTACTGTGGAAAATTAGAGGCAAAACCATTATTTATAGTGCTTGATTCTGGAGTGATTTTTTTCAGGAAATTTTGCAACAGATTTAGCGACAGTTCAAAATGTTATTTTATATATTATACATACCAGGCCTTTCAAAAGATGTTCTAGCAACATTTTTTGGGTAACAAATTTGAAAAATCATGTTAAGATTGAAGTTCCCGCTTTGCTTTGTATGATGAGACAAATTCATTGTCACACACGTATCATGGAAAACATCTATGGGAACACGGGAAAACTATGAGCATTCTATCACAATATTCAGGCAGGCTCGATAAAAAACGATTGTACTTTTGATTTTATGCGGTGTTGCGGCCAAACATCAGCTGATCAAAAAGACTGAGCTAAAATATTTGAACAAACTTTCAATTTTTTTTAAATTCCTCACATCAAGCACTGTAAATTAAAACAAACAACCGATATTTACCAACATAGTTCTTGGAATCTTCCTGCATGCTGCAGAAGACGGAAGTGTTAAACGAGATGGTTTGGCAAATTTCCTATTCGATTAGCACTAAGACTAAACTCACATAGTGTATAGTATTTACGGTATAATATATATTATAGTTTTATACATGGAAGGGGTACAAAAGTTGAGTATTACACGATAAAATCAGTGCGCCAAGCTTATACAGCCTACAATGTCCTGAGATCATAAACAGATACACGATAGAAAAATAGAGCTGCTGGTTTATACGAATTTATACTGGGAGCGCTCCAAATGTTTCCATATCAACTTAAGTCATCCAAATTTCCTAATTTTCATCAAATATTCTGCATGGAACAATGGAAATAAGGAGAACGAGACAAAAACATTGTACAAACCATGTGTTTTATTTTAGCAAGTGTTGGGACAGATTGAATTTACTGAAAGAAAAACTGGAAACGCCCCTCATCGACTGGACACGTACTTATACAACTAAAAGTCTTTGAAAAGTCCAGATTTCTACCCGCCCCGCCCCTTAAATCTAGCCCTAAAAATGAGTCTCAGGTGGTTCGTCGATATATTTACAGGTGAACGGGTTTAGAAACCAGGAGCAGAAGCTTTTCTCGTGTTTATGTTTGCATTTACCTCGCCTGCCCAGGTGGGAAAACCTTGTTGGTTCCGAGTCTATCGAGCTACTTTCACTATCACGAACCTGAAACAAGAAGTTGATGGTTATAAAAACTGTTAAATGTCCATATTTTAACAATTAAAAGGGGTCGTTGCTGGCATACTTGTACTCACCACAGAATCGTATCCACTTTCAGCTCTTCTCGAAATGGCAGCCGGACTATGTTTCGAAGTTCTGGGAGTGGAATCATGCCCAGAGTCGTACTCCTCATTTTTCTGCGTAAGCTTCAGCCCCGTATCCAGACTGAGAATGGCACGATTCACCCTCTCAGAGGACGGCAGTGGACTTGGAGGAGGCTGGCTGATGATGGAGGAGGGTGGAGTGTGTTTGAGGAGAGGCTCAGTGACCGACGATGCACTTGGAGGCAGCGCACTCCTACACGCTGTCTCTTTGAGTAAATTCGGGTTCGATGCACCTATAAAACAGTCGAGCAAGTACAAATGAAATTGTCGGACACATCCGGAGTGCGACTTACCGTCGGGATGCCTTAAAAAAGCCAAGTTGGCTTCTCGCGTGGACAATTTGCTGTGACAGTGATTTCGGCTCTGGTGAAACCGTCCACCTCTCACCTCACTGTGCCTGGACAAGTCCTGCGTGCTCGCACTCAAATAACTGTTCTCGTACCAGTTCTGGACAGTGTTGGGACGGCTCATGCTCACTCGGCAGTTCTCGCAGAACTTCTCCTGAACGTACGCCGGCTCCGAATAGATGCTGCTGTTGTCCGGAACATCCTGCGGCGAGCCTCCATAGAGCATGTCGTTCAGCGTCAGGCTTTCACACCTTCAATAGTAAGTCGCTAGATCATATATTTATTGGTTGAACTACCAAATTTACCTGGTAAGTCGTGGCTGGCTCCCATTGTTTCTTTGTTGCGTTTGGTACGTTTGCGAGTTTCCAACGGAAGCTTTTGCCAGGCGGTTGGTGTAAAGCTCGTGCAGTCGCGCCAGCTGGTCAAATTTTCGACGAGTTGTATCATCGAATGAAACATTGCCATTTGTTCTCGGGCATGGATTATCCGGGTCTTCGTAGTCGTCATAATAGCGCTCATATCTGAAAGGAAATCAACGGCTTTCATGGGAAATGTTAGGTAAATCTAAACCAAAATCAACAGATACCGATTTTTATGAAATAATAATAATAGACGCCGGTACGCACAAGCCGTAAAATGTTGGTCGTACTTAGTTTTTAACCGAAGAAGGTTTCTATGTGCGTACATAGGTGAAAGGTAATGTATTGCTTAATTATTTGTGAGTTATTTGAATCTAATTTAGTCGTAGCATCTAATTTGAAATGTAGAGAAAAATGTTAAATACAAAAGTTGTAGATATTAACGTCTAGTTTATTTTAAGGTAACACCAATTGATACAAAGTGTCTCAAATTCAAGTGGCAGACCAATCTTACCTTTTTTTAAAATGGAATACCGTACTTTTTATTGCATATTCGAATTATGAGCACAATTCTAGGCCTATTCGATATAAATGTTATATAATTATTTTCAGATTTTATCCTTACAAACAAGAAAACATCTTGCAAGAACGTATCCGTACTTAATAAGTTTGACACAGACAGCGACCATAGATTGGTAAGAGCCACCTTCCAAATAAACGTAAGAAAAAAAAGGAAGAACATGATAAAGGGGTCAAAAAACAAAATACCTACGTTAGACATTCTCAAGCAAAATCAACAACAAATTCAGAGCACACTAAAATATAAACTGGAACCATCAGACTCTCTGAAGACCATGGATATAGATCAACTAAACGAAAAGATCGTAACTAGTATACATACTGCTAGTAAAATAATTATATTCCAAAAACAAAAAACAGACAAATTCAGTACCCGTACATTAAAACTTCTCGAGGAAAGTAGAACCACAGAAAGAAACTCACAAGAATATAAAGAGTTAGCAAAGAAAATAAATAAAGAAAGATACTAGAAAGGATGGAAGAAAATATAATACAGAATTAATAAACAACACCATAGAGTAAAATAGAGGCATGAAGGTTCTAAAATCCAAATTGTCACAAGGGAAGGCTAAAATAACAAAACTGCGAGATAAATCGGGCAATCTTGCCACAGAAAAAGAAGATATAGCGAAAGT